TATGAACGCTTGTCACTACACTTGAGTTGAATGTTATTGGCTTTGAGCACATAAAAGACTTGTATGCGAATGATCCTTACTTTGCTACTCCTTATGCTAAGTGTTTGACGCATACATCTTGGGAACGATATTACATCAAGGATGATTATCTTATGAGAGCTAACAAACTTTGCATTCCCGAGTCTTCTCTTCGTTTGCTCCTTTTGCAAGAGGCTCATGGAGGCGGACTCATGGGACACTTTGGCCGCGACAAGACATTCGCCACGCTCTCCAAGAACTACTTTTGGCCCAAGATGTTCCGCGACGTCTCACGCTTCACCAACTGAGGCTCTACATGTCGCAAAGCTAAGTCTAAAGCTCAATCCCATGGTCTTTACATGTCTCTTCCTATTCCTTATCAACCTTGGGAAGACATTAGCATGGATTTTGTACTTGGTTTGCCTAGAACTCAAAATGGAAAGGATTTCGTGTTTGTTGTTGTGGACCAATTTTCTAAGATGGCACATTTAATTCCATGCAACAAGATAGATGATGCTTCACATGTTGCAAATCTCTTTTGTAGGGAAATCTTGCGACTCCATGGAGTATCAAAGACAATTGTCTCAGACCGCGACATCAAGTTCTTGAGTTACTTTTGGAAGACGCTATGCGCCAAGCTCGGCATCAAGCTTTTGTTATCTTCGGCATACCATCCTCAAACCGACGGCCAAACGGAGGTGACGAACCATACACTCTCCACTCTACTTCGCGTATTGATCAAGAGGAACATCAAGGAGTGGGAAGAGTGTCTACCAATCACCGAGTACGCCTACAACCGTGCAAGACATTCGACTACCGGCAAATCCCCCTTCGAGGTCGTCTATGGCTTCAACCCGTTGTCCCCATTGGACATTCTACCTCTTCCACTACAAGAGCGCACCAACCTCGACGAGAGTGCATGAGCAAGCTACCTCAAGAAGATGCATGAAGATACAAGGACCACCATCGAGCGCCAAGTACAACGACTAGCGACCAAGCTCAACGTCAACAAGCAACCCATGATATTCAACATTGGAGATCTCGTGTGGCTACACCTTCGCAATGACCGCTTCCCCAACGAACGCAAGTCCAAACTTCTACCTCGAGCCGATGGACCCTTCAAGGTGCTAGCACAACACAACAACAATGCTTATAGGATCGACCTCCCACGCGACAAGTACAACGTGAGCGACATCTTCAATGTCAAGGACCTCTCGCCATACCATGGTGATGACACTTTCGATCCGAGGTCGCATCTTTCCTAAGGGGGGGGGGAGATGATGCAGAGCATCCCTTGATCATCCCCATGGATGTACCTACACCCCCCTCGACACCACTTGGACCTATGACAAGAGCTCGAGCAAAGGCTCTCGAAGATAGGGTGAACTCACTCCTCTCCAAACATGAAAGATCGGCCTCTAGGGTTCTACCCTACATCAGTCGCTTTATTAAATTGTTGGGATATGATGAATTATCACTTTATGATCAGATTTATTCATGAATTCTTTTGAGAACTATTTAGTTCTTTTGCTACATAATTCTTAACCATATATTCTCTCCGATCTATTCTCTCTTTCTCTGGCCAAGGTTAAGGTTTGATCTTTAGAGGGAGTTGTGTATGATAGTTGGGTTCAACCATGCAAGTAAGCTACCATAGTGACAGAAAGTGTAAAAGCTTTGTGGTGTTGTTTCCACTAGGGATAAAGAGATGATTACATAGTTGTCTTTTGAATGCAGAGTGAAGACAATATACCATCTACTTCATGTCATCATGCTTATTGCAATTGTTTTTACTTAATACTTTAAGATGCATACTGGATAGCAATCTTCGGTGGAGTATTAGCTATAGATGTAGTTGGATAATTGCACATAGATATTGGGACGTGATGTTCATATATTAATTATGCCATGGATAGTCATAGTTATAAACATTGCAATTTAATCGATGCTCAACTGTAAATTTTTTACTACATCATGCTTTATTTTGGAGATAAACCACTAATGAACCTATGGACCCGGTCTATTTTCTTCCTATAAAACTTTCAACCTCAATCAATGCTCTTTTAATTTCTTGCTTCTAAATTCCTGTCAACTTGCTATTAAGTCCAAGTCTTTTTGTGGTTCAATTGTCGCTTCTAATCCTTACTAACTAGCAAGCTAGTGGGTCTGACAATCTCACTAGTCCTTTTGGGGCGCGAGGAAGTTTTGTATCTGTGTGTGTAGGTGTTGATCATTGCTTGTGTCACTAAGCTTCTGTTGGTTTGATAAACAACAAGATCACTTGAGGGAACTTGTTTCTTGCTATAACCCCTGGTCCCTTGCACTTGGGCCCTAACACCTTCCTAGTTAAGAGGAAGTAGGCGGCCATCGGTGAACTTTCTCCATACTAGTAGCTAGTACAACATGCCAAATTCTGGTAGTTTGATAGCATGTAGAACTTTTATTTTCATGAATACGCAAAGCCTATGTATCATTTCATTGATAGAAGAAGTTAATAGTGAGTACAAGAGGTGGTACAACACATGGCAAGACGTGAGATAGCACGTAGAACTACATAGGTTATTTTAACGTTCCATGTAGTTGTATGGATTTGTGGATTTGCTAAAAAAACGATAAAGGGCGCTCTTTATTGACTCATAATGTTGCATCAATCAAATACAAACATAACGAGTACACACTCGACCTCTACACAATTAGGATCCACACAACTAAAAAGAAAGAAAAACAAGACCCATAAGGGTCAACGCGAGGCGAACGACCAACCGCGGCAAAACATCAACTACTATCACTGCCTTTGACAACACCCGAACAACAAGAAGCTCCCCCCAACAGCGACACTTTCAGCAAGGAAACAATACATGAACACCGTCATCGCCGGATTGAACCACATAGGCCAATCATGGATTTTCACCTAGAAGAGAAAGACTGAGTAATCTCTAGATAGTGCCATCAACAAGGGAGCATAAACCATCACTGTCAGGTACAACCAAGGAAGGTCAGACCTAAGATTTTGTGGATTTGCTAATGAGGCATACGATTGTGGACGCAAACATTTGAGAGGTGATCGGTCACTACCCATGAACGCCCGCACACGCCGGATTTGCTATATGCTCTGCCAGAATAAACTACTTATGTTAAGTAGTCTTTTTGGAAGGGTATATGCCTATGAAAGGATCTTTTCTATGAATCTATTTTTCTAGGTTTTACAGTCTTGTGAGACAGAAATTTTCTATTCTTGAGATCAGTGGCTTAAGGGCACGTTCTAACTCGTTCAGTTGAGCATTATAATTCTTCTTCCACAAAGAAATAAAATATATAGAAATCACTAAAGTGGCGTAGCCTGAAGCATCTTAATTTTAGGGCATCCTTTTCTCCAATACGCATAAGCGTGCGTACTATATTTTAAAGAAGAGAATGAGATAGAGAAACTCTCCACGTTAGCGAGTACATATTACACCTTGCATGAAACATGCAACACCAACTCCACCTACATCGCCTAAGATAAGCTAACTCCTCGCACTAGCCATAAAGCCTGAAAAAGGCTTCCACCTCTCCCTTGATGATCTTTGTTCGTTTTCATGTTCTTCCTTCCACCCCAAATTTTCGCACGAGAGCTTGCAAAGATGATGAGGCGCGATCGATCTTTGGCCTTTTTGGAGAACCTTATGGCATCTATTTTTGGTCTTTTTTCCTATCCAGTATCCACCTAGGGCTGCAAACGTGTCGAGTCCAAGCGAATTGGACTAGAGTCAACTCAGTTTATACTAAAAATTGAGCTTTCAAACAGAGCGAAACTCGAGGTTGAGCTGTAAAAAGTGACTCGTTTTTAGCTTGTAATGATCTCGAGTCGATCCCATTTGAACTAAATAAGATGACTTTTTTAATAATGTAAGACATTTTTTGGAATAAGATAGACTACAACACAACATAATAAATCACTATAAAATAATTTTGACCTGTTCTCTCTCGAGTGAAGACTAATATTCACTCCATCTCTAATTGCTTTTCTTAGATTTCTCTAGACAGGAATAGTGTCTAGCAAGAGATCATGGATGAACTAGCAAGAGAAAAAAAGAAACAAAGGTGTGTCTGCTCTTAAACTTTGGTGAGAATAACCGGATATTTAATACTCCCTCCGTTCCAAATGAGTTGAATTAGATTTGTCTAGATACCAATGTATCTAGACACATTTTAGTGTTAGATACATCCGTATCTAGACAAATCTAGATACTGATGTATCTAGACACGTTTTAGTGTTAGATACATCCGTATCTAGACAAATCTAGATACTGATGTATCTAGACACGTTTTAGTGTTAGATACATCCGTATCTAGACAAATCTAAGGCAACTAATTTGACATCGAAATAATATATGCCTAACCACATATCATACTGAAGGTAAATTTTCTTTGCGCTTATTTAAACTTCATGTTTGAAAATAGGTAAAATGTTGAATTAAACTTCATGTTTGAAAGCTGGTAAAATGGAGAAAAATCATACACGACATATATGATAGTAAGTTATCACATTTCTTTTTAACTCATATGAAGATTATTAATATAATTATATGATATCAACCCATCGAACTAAAATCGAGTGAGCCAACGTTGGCTCAAAATCAGCTAATTTCTCAATCGACCTGAATAAAATGTTCATACTTTTATTTTGTTTTGAGTCAATCTCAAATCGAACCAAAATACAACGTCTGAGCCTGGAGCTTTCGTTGCAGCCTATCGCGCCCCATACATAACCGAGCCGAGCAACAAAACCGGGCGGGGTGACCCTTCCGGTGGGTCGCAGCCGCGCCCATAAAAACTGAGACCTCCTTGCCTTCTCCCCCCCTTCCCCATCCCCATCACGTCGCCCGGCCGCCCACCGCTGGGACCCCGAGCCCACGGGGCCTTCAACCCCCACCCGCACGCGCGCGCGCGCCTCCCCTCTGAGCCCTGACCCCCTCGCCGGAGCGGCCGAGCGCGCGCCCATGGACGAGTACCGGCCGCGCCGGTCGCCGGCTACCGAGCGGTTCGTCGGGTTGTTCTCGTCGCCCTCCTCGTCGCCGACGGAGTCGTCGTTCGTCGCTGGGGATGAGTTCCACGAGGACGACTTCATGTTCTCATCCGCCCCAGTCGCCGCCTCGGACGCGCGGCCCGACGGGCCAGGGAGCCCCACCCGGGTTCCGCATAGCCACCTCGGTCTCCTCGCCGCGCTGCACGAGGGGGACAAAAGGCTCCTTGTTCGCCGCGCCGGGGTCGGGAGCGGGGCAGCGGCGTCGGCTGTCGCGGCCACCCCGGCCACGCTGCTCCGGCGCAAGGCCACCATCGCGGCTGCCACTTCGGCATCTGGTGGTTCGCTGTCGCCCACCCAGTCCCCTGCCTCCGCCGCGTGGGCTATCCCGGCGAACCCGAGGCCCAAGAACCGCGCACCGGCCCCGCAGTATCACCAGTCGGCTCCAGTTAAGGTTCCCGTCCGCCCGCCCCCGAAGCCGGCCATGGACAAGTGGGACGAACTGGACGACGATGACGAGCTCCGACACGGGGATGCCGCCATGCTGCCCCCGCACGAGATGGTCGCGCGTGCGTCTGCTGGTGGCGCCGGGCCGGCCGCCCCCTTCTCGATGCTGGAGGGCGCCGGTCGCACGCTCAAGGGCCGAGATCTTCGACGGGTACGGGACGCTGTGCTCCGGCAAACCGGATGGCTCGACTGAATCCGGTGAGGTGATGTGGCTCTGGACTTGTATTCAGCTTAGAGTCATAGATTGGTTACATTAGGATATAATTCTTGTGGCGTTGTAGATCGGAAGGGAAGATGAGAAAGTAAGGTAACAGGTTGAGTTTTTTTGTGTGCAAGTGCTTGCAATTTTGATCTCAGTGAATTGGAAGGATGTGTCTGTTATTACTGAAGTTTCAACAGTAATAAGAACTTGTGTCATGTATTCGTAAATTGGGAGTTTTCTGTAATTCAGGAGGAAGGGCAATTTTGTCAACGCTGTTGAGTTTATCTCGACAATTCTCAAGGTTTATTTTTGTCCACTCGAATCGAAATGGTATTTCGGTTTTGTTTCTTTATCACGTGATATCACACAATTGCATTTTGTCGTGGTATAAGGTTAATTTTTCATGTATGTTCCTTGCCGTATGTGCATTCTCTAATCGTAATTGATATGCTGTTCATCCATGTCTGCCTACTTCCTAGAGAATTTCAGAGTTCATTGTGTTAACAGTATGATCCCACGCAGAATCTGCTTATGCTTTCGAATTCAGAGTTCATTATGTCATATGCAAGCAATGTATCAAACTCATCAACCAATTATTCTTTGTTGGAAAGCATTGCCGCTTATGTCGTCGGAAGAACTTTGGTTGGTGCCTTGGTGGCTGTTGCCAGTGTTATCCAGTCATAAGGTATTCTAGTGTATGGTCTTATTAGGTGAACTTTTCTTAGTATTACTTCTCTACACTTGAATTTATACATCTTATAAACGATTTACTAGTTTGGATTGGTGGCACAATGACTGATTGCTACGCCCATTCTTTTCAAAACGAAACTGATTGCTATGTTTAGGTGTAGTATTCTAGTGGCAACCATCTGGTCTTATCCAGCAAAATAGATAAACACCACCAACTTCTTTGAACCATTCAATGATGTTTTTCTCTTTATGTGTCGATACTTATTCTTGGCTGTGGCATACACTGCTGAAAACTGTAGTTGTATTCCTGCCATATGATCGCATGATCTTGTTAAATGCTTTAATGTATTCTATTTTCTGCTTGCCGTAGGCTGAGATGCTCATCTGATGGACCGCTGTGTATTTAGGGACCCTGGCCTGAACCATGTAACTTTTTCCCCTTAACCTGCTACAATACATTAGAGAGCTCAAAACTTTGAGTTCTGTTTAGCAAGTCCTCATGCTTGTTGTTTGCGTTCAGCACTGAAGTCACTAAAGGCAAAATGATAGCTAAGCCTGGTGCTTTCTTTCGATTGTGGTCTGCCCAGACGATTAGGATAGATAAAGTTTAGACTTGTGAGTCAATCACTTTCTTCCACTTCCGGTGCTCCTTTGATGGGGAAGTTTGTTCTGCTGCTGCCCTTTTCTAGCCGGATCTTGCTTTATTCCTCTGTGCCCCTCTTCCCATTGCGGATTCCACGTTTGGGTGCTGTGCTTTTCTTAGTCAATTGCTGGCTGGAGCTGGACCCTATTCTCCTTGCCAGCCAATTGAAGGATCACACCGTTTGTAATTGTGGTGCCACTCTTTTTCTGTGGGTCTGCGTCGGGCTGTTGCTGAGAATAAGTTCACTGTCTGGCTCCATTCAATGAGAATCGAGAACTAACTCCCCTGCACTACACTGCACATTTGCTACTATCATCTCAAGGGCTTTACTAATCATTTATAGCTTCCTGGAGGAACGGCGGCCGCCTTCTGGAGTACCTCTGTATACTCTGTTGCTAAGCTGCTCCGAGCCTCCGAGGTATAAAATGAGGAAAAATCATCTGTACCATTTTGGTCACTGAACTTCAAAATGCCCTAAATACGGTCACGGAGGTTGCTTAAGTTGTCCAATATGGTTGGTGTATAAGTTTCCGAGACATATTTATATGTACTTGCCTGTCAAAAAAATATTTATATGTACTTATGCTTATGTGGTACTCCCCCTGTTCCAAAATAGATGACCTAACTTTATACTAAAGTTAGTATAAAGTTGAGTCATCTATTTTGGAACAGAGGGAGTACTAATTATCCATTCAAAACGCATATTGAGTGACTATTCAAACCACCGGCACTGATTCATAATTTTAGCAGAGCTCTAGCTATCACCCGTAGTTCAAAACTCATTTATTCATTACATGGAGTTATTTTATAAATAAAATACAGATGCGCTTCAAATGGTTGATTTTTTTTTTTGAGAGTACACAAATCGCGTCCCATAACTTTATAGAAGGATAGAGATATACACAAGAAAAGTTACAAGGGACAACACAAGTCGGAATATGTACAACTCCAAGCTCAGCTCCTACACCCAAAACACTACTCCTCATGCTTCGTTTGGTAGAGGGGTTTTTCCAGCACCATCAGAGGGGGTGGGGATTTCAAAGATTTGGCGAACCCCCTCTTCCACCCAATCCCCTTTGATAGAGGGGTTTTTCCAGCACCCGAGTGGGTGGGGATTTCAGAGATTTGGTGAATCCCCCTCTTCCACCTGAGTAGTTTCATTAGGGCTGTAAAGGCATATTTCACCCTAAGTAGTTTGGTGATTGATGACAATGCTTTTGCGGACTAATTGTGTGCTTTGAGCATTTCAGATATCTTTTGTGTTGGCACAAGAAGGTTTGATGCCCCTCGGAGCCTAGTGAATACGACGTTTTTCTACGTTTCCTTTTGATGGATTTGAGTCGTAGGAAAGCCGTACTATTAAGAGGGGGTCCGCTTTAGAAAGGTTAGGATGGAATCATCACGTACACGTCTGTTCCTTTGCACCACCTTTCCCCTTGCCTCTTTGGAGCACCGATCAGTTATCCGTGTCTTTGCAAAATGAACGACTACAAGTGATAGTGTGATGTGGCGTACGGTAGTACTGCTCAAGGGAGCAGTAGTACCGTTCGAGGATGCGGTAGTACCACACCTCCTTGCGGTAGTACCGCCCCGAGGTCACGGTAGTACAGTGACTTCTGGACCAGCATTGCTACTCGCGCGGAAGTAGGGGTGGATGTAAATTTTTACATCTGTGCCCTATGCGGTAGTACCGCTCCCTGGATGCGGTAGTACCATGTCGGGTGCACCGATCTAAACTCAGCGGAAGTAGTCACGGATGTAATTGTATTCATCCGTGCCTTCCCAGCCCAGTCAAACCCTGCCTTGCGGTAGTACCGCAAGGGCGCACGGAGACGTATGGTGTGAGGAGAATATGGTGGCCCTAGTGGCTTCTTGGGTAGCATTGTGCCTCCAAACCGCTTCAACGGAGACGTACTTTCCCTCAAAGGGAAGGAACTTCGGTAACACATCCTCGTCTGCATCGGTTCCACTTTTGGTTATCTCTCACCTTACTTGAGCAAGCTATATTGTGTTATATCCTTTGCTTGTTTGTGTGCTTATTGTTGTTGCATCATATAGGTTGCTCACCTAATTGCATATCTTTTTAGAAAAAGGAGGATGACCCCCTGCCTCTGCATCTGGGCGATGCATACGGCCACTTTATTAATTATTCTCACAAGACCTTATAAAGTCATACAACAGTAAGACTAAAGCCGCCGTCTAAGCAACAAACTGTCGCTACACCTATCCAGTCGATGAAGGGGCGCAGGTAGCCTGGGCCTAATACCAAACAGACATTGCAGCCAAGCCTAACATCTAAGACCTGAGACCCCAACCTAGCCACTTGCCGGGTCTGGGGCACACACTGGTCCGGCGTGCTCTCAGAGGCCGCCGCCGCCAACTGCCACCGCTCCATCTTTAGAACTGTACCGATGCATCAACCTTGCTCGGTCTAGCTATCGTCGACGCCACCACGGCGCCAAACGACACCTCCTCCCTGCGCGCAAACAGCTGAGCACATCGCGGTCGCCACTGGTACACCTCAGTGTCATGCTGCCAAGTACCACCAGCCGACACAGCTTGAAGTCCTTGGAAAATCTGTCGTGCGTAGCACCTGCCGACCAGGCATGACAAAGCGTAGCACCTGTTGGTCAGGCATGACTTGACATCTCCACCGAAGCTCCGTGCAAGACGAAGCCGCTCCACCTCCTGCCTCTGACTTCCAGCGCTGCTCCGCAAACGATGCTCCCAAGAGAGAAATGACACAGCAGTGCCGCCATCGTTCGATCTGGAACACCATATCCTAGGGTTTCCCCCGGAGCAGCACGAGTGGGTCGACAGTAGTTACACGACGATGCCTCCATCAAGGTAACGGCGAGAACGCCGCCAACGCCTGCCGTCGGCTCGGTTTTCACCGGCAACCAGGTCTCCCCTACTCGCAGCCGGGACTAGATGATGGATCTCGAGATCCGATCACCAAGCCTTTGGCCGGCCATCTCTGGAAGAAGATGACCACCACGTCCACCAGCGTCACCACGCCGGGCACGCGTCGCCGCCGACACCCCAATGGTGCCTAGAGGCCGACAAGCCCCGACGAACACCACGCCTCGCCAGCCTCCATGGCCCAGACCCAAGCACCACCAGATCCAGATCAGATCGGGGTCAAGGGCCCCAAGCCGCAGCCGCCGCGGAGGCAGCACCACTGGAAGGTGCCCTGCCCTCCACCCCGCCGTAGGACTGAGTCATCACCGGAGCTCCGCCGTGCCACGCCGCCAAGCCGCCGCCGGAAGAACTCGCGCCGCCGCCAGGGGAGAGATAGAGACACGCCAGGAAGAGGCCCTGCCGCCGCCGACACTGCCTGGGCTTTGCCCGGCTATGTCCCTCGGCGGCGGCGAGGGGGGAGGGAGGGTGTTTGAGGGCCGATGGCGGAGGGAGCTAGGGTTCCCCCGAGTCGCCTCAGAGAGGGACGCGGGGGACGCGGGGGTAGCGAACGGGTTACGATCGCTAGACAACCTAATTGCATATCTAGACAACCTACTTTGATGGAAAGTTTAATTTGGTAAAGAAAAGCTAAAAATTGTTAGTTGCCTATTCACCCCCCCCTCTAGTCAACTATATCGATCATTTCAAGGGCCTACAGGTCCATAATAGTAGCTATATGGCTTTCACTCTCTGATCT